GTCACGTGAGAAGCTCGTGGGCTTTTACAGCTCAGGTTGGTGGGGATATTCTGAAGCAAGATCTTGATGCTATTGCCTTGACTACAGTAGTCTGACTGTGGAGCTCATGGCAGTAACCAAAGCAGTGACATGGGTGGAAACACAGACCTACATCCACAGATGTTTACTCAGTGACTTTATGAGTATGCTGAGGAAGACAGAGATGGCTGGGTCCGAAGAGAATGGTTGGGCTGAAAAAGATCAATTTGTGCTGGGTACGCAGGTATATAAGGAAAAGAGCAAGCTGATAGGCTTGCAGGCAGGTGTGGCTACTTAATAATTTATCAACTAACTAACTAACTAACTAAACTAAACTAAACTAAACTAAATTTAACTAAACTAAACTAAACTAAATTTAACTAAACTAAACTAAACCAAACTAAACTTACCTTAACTAACTAACCTAACCTAACCTTACCTAACCTAGCCTAACCAAACCTAACCAAAAACAGCCAAACCAAACCAAACCTAACCTTCTTTTGTCAAAATCTGCTTCTGCCGCTAGGCGTCGCAGTCTATCAGAACCTCGGCTACCTAGCCAGGGCGCGCTCTACCGCTTCATATGCCTGATGTTATGAAGTCTCAAGTTGGTTGTGACCTCCTTAATCCATCTTCTTCTTGGTCTTCCCCTGCCTCTTGGTGTTCGATTTTCATGTTGTATGCTCTGAATGCTGGCATCGTTGGTATCCATTCTAACTAGGTGACCACACATTTCATAACTTGCTTCTCAATAATTTAACGATAGGTATGGTTCCAATAGTTCTTTTAATCACTCGTTTCTCAGTCGATCTCTTCTGGTTTTATTTGCAGCCATTCTCAAACATCTCATTCACAGGTGGTTAGTCTTCCTCTCGTGTTTCTTTTGTTAATGTCCAAGTCTGACATTGATAACCTAATGTCGTATATAAGATTGTATTTATAATTTGTCTTTTTATCTCAGCTGGGACAGCAGGGTGTTTTAAAATTGGGGCAAGCTGGTATGCAACATTGTTGGCTTGTTGGATTCTTGCTTCGATCTCAAAACCTTACCTAACCTAACCTAACCTAACCTAACCTAACCTAACCTAACCTAACCTAACCTAACCTAACCTAACTAACTAACCTAACTAACCTACCTAACCTAACCTAACCTAACCTAACCCTAACCTAACCTAACTAACTAACCTAACCTAACCTAACCTAACCTAACCTAACCTAACCTAACCTAACCTAACCTAACCTAACCTAACCTAACCTAACCTAACCTAATTAACCTAACCTAACCTAACCTAACCTAACCTAACCTAATTAACCTAACCTAACCTAACCTAACCTAACCTAACCTAACCTAATTAACCTAACCTAACCTAACCTAACCTAAACTAACCTAACCCTAACCTAACCTAACCTAACCTAACCTAACCTAACCTAACCTAACCTAACCTAACCTAACCTAACCTACCTAACCTAACCTTACCTAACCTAGCCTAATTAACCTAACCTAACCTAACCTAACCTAACCTAACCTAACCTAATTAACCTAACCTAAACCTAACCTAACCTAAACCTAACCTAACCTAACCTAACCTAACCTAACCTAACCTAACCTAACCTAACCTAACCTAACCTAACCTAACCTAACCTAACCTAACCTAACCTAACCTAACTAACTAACTAACTAACAACTAACTAAACTAAACTAAACTAACTAACTAACTAACATGTGGAACACTGTAATGTAACTGCTGTATTAGTTTATGTGTGCATGGCTATGTTTGTCTAATATATTTCCCACTTTTTTATTTACAGATGCTGTTCTTCACCTTCCTAACCCATGTCCTTGTGGATGAACAGCACCATCTGAAAGCCTCCACTGTCTTTGTCACCATGGCCTACTTTGTGTACATCCGTCGGTCTGCAAACCTTCTAGCTGCTGTTGCTGACATCATCATCAGTGTAAGTTTCTTAACTGATATAAGAGTAGACTATAGGGAAAGTTCTTCCATGTGTTACTTCTTAGTTCATACAGTGATAGCAGATCTCCTGTATTTTATCCTCTTTACTTGCATTTTTTTCCCCCCAATTATCCAGAAACCATGATGTAAACCCTTTGGCTTGGTACTATGGATATCCCAACCTTTCCGCCTTAATTCCATTATAGATACCAAAAATCTGGGAGAAATATGGTTTTTCTGTCTAGCCCCGGCGTGAACCCGAACCAAAAGGAGTTCGTCACCCGGTCATCGAGCAGACAATGGTGGTAGATCTCCATTGTATTATCCTCTTAAACCCATAAATATTGACGCTTGTAGCAGTTCACTTCTGTTATACCTTAAGTGGGGACTGAGGTATGGCATCTGCCTCAAGTGCAGGAGGTCCTGGGTTCAAACCCCGGTGAAGGCTGGGATTTTTTCATGTGGACTTCTAGTAATTTTCCCTGGTCTCTGGGTAGTAAGACGGGACCCCCATGTGTATTGTTGCGCACGTAAAAAATACTTTTGCTAGACTACTAACAGGGTAACTTGACGTGCATTTTATAAAAGGCGGGTAAAAAGGGCTGACAACGGAAATGGCTACTTCATGTCATAGAACATATTTAGCTGCTAAATTAAACTAATCATGAACTGGCTTCATTTAGAGCTGAAAGACAGTTGAAAAAGTATGGTGACAGTATCCATACACCATGGCTTTTCAACTGGTGGCCTGCAGGCCACAGTTGGCCACCAGATGCCTAGAAAATGGCCTATAGATCATTCCCAGCTCTATAGTATTCATGATCTTTCTATGCTGGGGACTATGCATCTGGTCCGTGACAACCCCCGTTTTCCTAATTTTGGTCCCTATGGTATCTAATGTGTTAGATAAGCACTCAGGAAATGTGTGATTTGCTGTTTCTTCACCATCAACCAGGAAACCATTTTGCAGTTATGAAAAAGATACCAAACAAGAGGCAAAGTAGAATCAGTCTGCTTCACATTAACACAAACGGCAAGTGAATGTTGCGGCCAGAGAGCCCTCATCAGCACATTACATAGACGTACAAAACCACAAAAAGGAACATGAACACACAAACAAAATCACTAAAATAAAGTATCTCTGAAAGAAATCTACATATCTGGCCAGTTCAGTCGCTTGTGACCACCAGAAATAAATAGTAGCCAGAAAGAGTTGTGACGAAGCTGTGATGGACGTTAAGTCCCCTAGGTGAATGAGAGCCTATTTTGCAGTGAACATCAATGATTTTGTTGTTGTTGGTGTGTGTCTATTTAAGTTCACCTTACCAAGTCAGTGAGACCCAGCTGTATTGATTACTTATACTTATCTATTTTGATTCTTATGTTTTGTCTCTTCAGGGTGTCAACTCCGGCCAGAGAGTTGCAAAGTTCCTCTTGCTAGGCGAGATTGAGAAGAAGGCAGTATCACCAAAAAGTACCATTTCAGATGGTACGTTTTGTTTAAAAATTACATTACCAGATATTGTTAACATGAATGTTAATTGTATATTGCATATCTGAAAGTGATCGTCGAGCTGATGTTTCATTTCAAAAGTCAAAGTTGAGAGACTCAACTTCATTGCACCAGGTTATCCCATGTGGCTCAATCTTTCTCCACAGAACATCCCACAGAGCATGAACTTTGTAGCTCCAGTGATGATCCCTAGAGTTCTCTATAACAACTGCCCTGTTGTACTGAACTTCATGTTTTTTATCTTCTGAAATGGGAGGCAAACCACTTTGTCACAAAGACCCCAGTGGGGTTTGGTTTTATTTTATGGGTCACAGCGTTGTTCGGTTATAACTGATCCTTTTTCTGTTGTCAGTATTAACTTTGTGCCATGAGGCATCACATTTAATTGATGATAGATAGCTGAGCCAGAGAGCATTCGGTTAGTTGGTATGCTGTGATGTTGTGAGGTCTTTAACTGTTATTGACTCTTTCAGTCCATGTCTTTTAAGTCTTCTTCTGCCTCGAAATCATCATCATCATGTGCCCTGCCAGCTGGGGTAGGCTATCATGCATCTCCACAGATCACAATCCCTGGCTGCCTTGAACAGCTCTCTTGATGATATCCCTCCATGCCATCGTTTCAGCCCAGGCAGCGGCATCCCTCTTAGTCTGCCTCTACCCCCTTTTCCACTGATCTTTCCAGTTGTCACGATGTTCTCTAATGTCTTTCTTCTCATTATGTGGCCAAAGAACAGTGTTTGTCTCTTTCTTATTGTATATAGAGATCTACTTTCATAAGCTTCTTTCAAACAATTGTTGTTAGTTTCTCTGGCCCTCCAGGGTACTCGTAACATTCCTCTCAAAAACCACATCCCAGTTGTTTCCAAATTCTTCTTAATTTGTCTCTGCCTCTTGGTGTTTCCATTTTCATGTTGTATGCTCTGGCTGCCTGCATCATTGCTAGATGATCAAACCATTTCGGTCTGTGAATTAAATGTTGGGTATTGTTCCAGTAGATCTTTGACAATTATTAGTTTTTTTGACAAATATCTGGAAGATTGTTAGTTTTGTCTCTTATCTCTTTCAGCAGCAAGGAAACTCACCATGTGTTCATTTATTACACTTTTTATGGTATGCATTTCTTTAGTTGTCCTGTCCCATTCTTATGTTATGTTAGCTGCCTTATTATGCAGTTGGTATTTAAACATCATTTCTTCAAAAGCTGTATTTTATCAGCTCTCTGAGACTAAACAGTTGTTGTTCTAGGATTCAATAGTTGTAGCATAGACACTGTTGAATTCAGCCCTCTCTTTAATCTAGGGCCTTCTCCACAGTGAAAGTTAGCTATAGTGAACCACTGTTGTCTTTGGGAATATTACATGGTCAGGCCTCAATCTCTTCTATGGTGCTATTCTCGTACCATTTATTGTTTTATTTGATTAAAATTGATCGCGTGTTCAACTGCTGATCTTATAATGACTTCTGCTACCATCAATGATGAACTGCATTTCTAACGTCGGACTGTTTGTGTTAGCACTTCGGATGGCTACCATATGCTTTTAATGCGAGTGTATGCTAGATTTGCTGAGACAGCAGTTTGTCAGTCTTTCCACAAGGGACTGTGATAAACATTCTGTGTGTTTTTCATTGGCGCAGGAGCGGAGCAAAGATGGGGTGACCCGTTTGCTATGAAGCTTAAATTAAAATTACCAGATTACCAGACTCTTGTACAATTTATTGTCTGAAAGTCACAAAAAAATTTTTTTTTATGTCCGCTGCTGGAAATGAACCCTAATACTCGAGGATCATTAAATTGTTAACCACATTTGTTAACCTTTATGCTCCCCTTATGAGTTCCGGGACCCCATTGTGGGGGAAACAAAAATAGACCCACTGTTTCCCCAACAAACATGTCGTAAGAGTTGACTAATTGGGGGTTTTCTTTGAAGTCAAAGTGCATATATCTAAGAGGTAAAGAAACCAACAGTCTGCATACTAAAAAGTCAGATTTGTAAAATGGATGTGCATGCAACACTCAGGTTCTGAAACAAGTCTAAAGTCCAGAGGTGGATGAACAACCAGAATTTTCCACAAGAGTTTACAACCGGTGAATGCGAAGGAGAAGAAACTCTATGCCACAGAGCCTAAATTCAGCACTATCTAGGACTGACAAAAATTAAGCCCAATACACTGGCATTCAGGCTCTGTGCGCCCTGAGAAGGGCTTGTGTTTATCAGAGCCATCATTATTTGAAGACGTCCCTCTTGGCCTGATATTTCTTCTTCTTCTTCTTCTTTGTCTTCACCTTATAACACCTGTAAACTCCAGCTGAAAATTCTCGTTTCTGGACTTTAGTCTTCTTCCAGAACCTGATATTTGTGCGCACATCTCTTTTACAGATCTGGCTTATTTTTATCCAGACTGTTGGTTCTTCACCCTTCAAGAAGATTCAATCAGACTTCAAAGGAAGCATCCCTAATTAGTCAACTCTTATGACATGTTTGTTTCAGGAGGCAGTTGGTCTATCCTCCCTTGCCCCCACCCGACCCTCACAATGGGGATCTGGAACCCATATGGGGACACCAAAAACTGAAGTGGCAAATATTTTTTAATTTCAGGTAATGCAGTATCTATTTCAAATGGAACATTTGCATGGTCAGCAAGTGGTGAGCCAGTCTTGAAGAAGTAAGATTTAGATCTCATGTTTGAAGTCTGTAAGGCTGAATGTCTGTCACACACACATTGTGTTTCTACATTTCTGGAGCTTTTTTTCTGTATCCTGAGGAGTCCGAATTTGTTTCCTAGAATTGTATTTTCTGAGTGCAGTAACTGCAGTTTAAAATAAGTGAGTAGAGGAAAAGGACTATTTTAAAGCCTTTGGTGCATTAGGCATATAGGGCCAGTCATCGACTGCCTTTACGTCCCAGGAAATTATCTAGTAAGCATTTTTAGGCTAGGTTGATATGAGTGCCAGTGTCAGTCTTGAAACATTCTCCTTAATGTGGATTTGAACCTTAGACCTTTTGGCTAACTGCTGAGCATCTATCCACTACCTTACTGTAGTTTTTTAAATAAGTAACTGGTGTAGGAATTAAAATTATAATAGTTTAATTACTTTATCCGTGTTGCAATCATTTTCTTCTTGTGATTCTTTTATCCACTGATGGCTTTTGTCCATCCTTATCTTCCTTTCTTAAACTAAAATACTTTGGACATATCAAATGCCATATTGGAGTGGAAAGAACAGGAAGCAGTAGAGGGCATGTTATCGAATAAGTGGGGCAGGGGCCAACCCGCATAAAGATAGGCACCGGATAAAGAGATGCGTTGAGCAGAAAAGTGCAAGTGTGTGAGGCAGGAGAGCTGGTGAAGGCTCGAGTTTCATTTAGGTATGCTGTGAAGAGAACATCATTCGGTGAAGGACCTGCTACATAAAGATTAAGATGAGTTTTCTCTTGTGTATTTTGTCTGGCATTGAATTGTTACCAGTTGACCAGCCATCCCCCTCTTCTCAGCCTCTGTCCTCCTCACCACCAAGGCAAAAACAACTTGGTAGTGGGTTGAGCCCCAGTCAACCTCCTTCCCCCAACCCTATTAATTAATGTTCTCCCCGCCCCTTTCCACCCACAGTCACAACCTCTTTACCACCTTACACATTTTCTAGGTAAGTAATTAGTGGGTGGGGGAGGCAGGGGAGCACTGAGCCACCTCTAAAAACATGAAGGGGCAGTTGGGGGTCAAGAGACCCGAGCCCCAGGTTCTGGCGTCTGTGCATACGGTTGACAGTTTCTTATTATTTCCTTTCTACCAGCATCCAGGTGAACATTCCAGCTGGGAGTCTTGTGGCTGTTGTCGGGATGGTTGGTGATGGGAAATCATCTTTGTTATCAGCCATTTTGGGGGAGATGGTTGTTCATGGTGGCAGCATCCACAAAGAGGTAAGGGGTGAGTCCCCTTTAGAAAACCATTACGCAACATTCAGTAAGATCTACAATAATGATGAATCCATTCACACAACATTCATTAGGACCTACAATAATGATGAATCCATTCACACAATATTCAGTAAGACCTACAATAATGATGAATCCATTCACACAACATTCAGTAAGACCTACAATAATGATGAATCCATTCACACAACATTCAGTAAGACCTACAATATTGATGAATCCATTCACACAAAATTCAGTAAGACCTACAATAATGATGAATCCATTCACACAACATTCAGTAAGATCTACAATAATGATGAATCCATTCACACAACATTCAGTAAGACCTACAATAATGATGAATCCATTCACACAACATTCAGTAAGACCTACAATAATGATGAATCCATTCACACAACATTCAGTAAGATCTACAATAATGATGAATCTATTCACACAACATTCAGTAAGACTTACAATATTGATGAATCTATTCACACAACATTCAGTAAGACTTACAATATTGATGAATCTATTCACACAACATTCAGTAAGACCTACAATATTGATGAATCTATTCACACAAAATTCAGTAAGACCTACAATATTGATGAACCCATTCCCACAGCCATTACACAACATTCGATAAGACCTGCAATATTGATGAATCCATTCACACAACCAAGACACAACATTCAGTAAGACTTACAATATTGATGAATCCATTCACACAACATTCAGTAAGACCTACAATATTGATGAATCCATTCACACAACATTCAGTAAGACCTTCAATATCGATGAATCCCATTCACACAACCAATACACAACATTCAGTAAGACTTACAATATTGATGAGTCCATTCACACAACCATTATACAACATTCAGTATTTAATCCTGTACCCCGAGAAAGTTGTTTCTATGTTTGACTTTTACTGTTTCATGTTGTGTAAGGCATATGTTTTTGCAATGCCTGTCAGTTTGTATGTGTATGTGAGCATATATGTATGTATGTGTGTGTACGCGCATGCGCATTCCCACACACACATATATATTTAAATTTCTTTTTCTGGCAGTAAACTACATAGTTGGTCTTCACTGTTCTCTAGGGCTGTTTATCTTTATTTATTCTTTTATCATTGACTCGCTGCAGTGGATCAGCTATACCGGTAATATTTTATGTGGGTATTGAAACAGTGGTTTCTGTTTCAGGGAACAATCGCCTACATTCCCCAAGAAGCATGGATTCAGAATGATTCTCTACGGAATAACATCCTTTTTGGCTCAGACTACCGAGAGGAGAACTACGAGCAAGTGTTGGAGGCATGTGCTCTAACTTCAGATCTGGGCATTCTTCCTTCTGGGGACCAGACAGAGATTGGAGAAAAAGTGAGATTGTTCAGCCCAGGTTGACATTTTTACATCTTTTTACTAGTTTTATAGGGAAGCCATATTGGGGTAGTGATTGGCGCCCTTGCCTACCGACAGAATGATGCTGATTTCGACCTTAGTTAATTGACAGATTATCTTCATTGCACATCAGAATTCTATAAACGCTCGGATCCCATCTTCAGTATATCCAACAGCGACACCAGTTGTGTGTTGGTTTACTGTTCTTCTTTGGCTACCTGTAAAGTGTTCATGTTTGGCGACACCTCTTTTGAACTGAAGTTCTTGTAGTCTTTTGATCTTTTAAGTATTTTTTTTGTAAATTCAGCGTCTCCTGAATTACTACTGCGGGTGTTACTTGTCCAGTCAGTACCAACACAGTGTTCTGCCAAGATGAAAGCAAATACAATTCTGACCTACAGTAGATCAAGGCGGTGTAGATTTGAAAGCTCAAGTCTGTTTTTATAAAATATATGCCTCCATAAGGATTTGAACATATAACCACAGAGCTGGTGGTTAAGCATGCTAATCATTTAAACAGGTGAGCAGAAGCCATTAATCATGCTCATGTTTTCTTTTGTTTCATTTCTTTAATTGGTTGTACTTTGTAAATATGTCTTTCTTTTGTAATTTTGTGCATAGTTTTGAGCAAATAATAAGTAACATTTAAATGTCATTTAAATATGAAAACTTAGAGACAAAAATTCAGCACATAGAATAGTCATTCAAGAGTTATGAGCTGAAATTCATCAGCTTTCCAGGATTCTTCTTCTTTTTTCATTCTGCCTGTCAGTTGTTTTCAGATAATAACCTCTATGAAAGCTTTAGTGTGACAAATTTCTTCCACTGATCCGTACGGCTTGGTTACCACTAGACAGCCAACTGGCCAAACCTGGGATTTTTCTACTGCAAGTACAGAAAGAATGAATCAATCAAGAATTGATACAGCTGCACTCGGGACATTTCCAACACATGCTGCATCCCCTTTTTCAATAACCAGCGAAGAAATGACATGCTAATAGTACCAGGTCCAACCTGATTTCATGCAACCTCTCTTTCCCTTTCAAAGTTGAATATCTTCCGGAAGCTCTACACACTGCCCAGTGAAGTAGTCTTTCAGTGTATGGATTCGCTGTCTGTTCTTTTGCACTGTCTATTTGATCCCACAGAGCCATCACCACATCCACTTTATCATAAAATATGTAGAGAGCATGTCTGAACCCATGTTCAGTATTCTCGAATGCTTGTTCACATAGACAAAGTTCTAAATCCCTGAGTCCCAGTCTTGAATTTCTTGTACATTAGTTAGTTAGTTAGTTGGGTTATCCTCATTGCAGTCCAGACATGTCCATAGGTGCTCAGATCCTCCCCTCAGTATGAACCCCAACGTCCGATGGCTAATAGTACCAGTTCTATGTTGATTAACAAGTCTTCTGGCGTGTCTGGTGTGCGTCTCGTTTTTTGCTGTGCCGATCTTAATTCCCAAGTCTGCCATTCTGGCGAGTGATGTTGATTCACTGCCACCAAAGTCCTCTTTCCTTCCCATTTCTCTGAGGGCATTGATAATATCAGCATGATCCATAGGCTGACCGTCGGTAGTGATAGCGGATCCAGCCAACCTGTCAGCTCTTTCATTTCCATCGACGCCTGCCTCTCCCAGAACAAAAATAAAGGTGACTCCACGCACAGTGGACTTCTGTAATGATTCAAGCCATTGTCTTCACACTGAACCTGCCTGAACCCTCCGGATCATACTCATTGAATCACTGAGTATACACACGCGGGTGTATTTTTGTGTTTCAAGCCAGGCAAGCGCTTGCGTCACTGCCATCACCTCCATCGTCATGCTGCTGGTTGTCATGGAAAAGGCGCCATTGGCTTCTTTGACTGTTCTGCCCGCTGAGCGTGCTGTAAATACCCATGCGCTTCTTCTTTGGCGTATAACGGATCCGTCTGTATAGATTATTGCATCTGCTTCGTCTGAATTTTCACCGATGAGAGTCTGTTGTGTCTGGTTATAATCTGAATACAGTGGTCTGTTTCTTTTATGAGAGAAGGTTGATTGGGTTTTTAGGATTGTGTTCTGGATGGGAAATATTCCAATGGGTTCTAATGGCTGGTTTGATCTGGGTTTTATTTTCCTTATAAATACATCCTGCATCTGACTGTTCATTCTTGCCCTCAATTTTTGCTAAGCTTTTGCTTTCATTTTCCATAATACGTGGTTTCTGAACCAACAGACCTACCAAAGAAAGCAACCAAACAACCCTTCAGACAACTAAGCAACCCACCAGTTTTGAGCAGAAGAAAAAAGAAAAAACTGAAACAGAAATTAAATGTTTATGACGAATTCTAAATGCAACTGTCTCAGAAATGACAATATCAGGAAAGAAGTTAGGATGGAACCAGTGCTAAACTACATCAAGAGACAACAGATAAAATGGTTTGGACATGGGTCAAGACTACCACTAGATAGTGCAGCTAAGAGAGTCCTGTCACTTAGACATAATGGTTACAGAACTAGAGATCCACCTTGCAAATGATGGATAGATGGACTGTCCAAGGCCATAAATACTAGTATCTATGTTGGGCAAACCAAGATGTGCACCCAGGCTTGTTCAAAACATGATACTGAAAGACAAAACAGAAACAAAAGAAGAAGTTTGATGTTTTGTTATTGTCTTTGTTTTTCATTTTTTAAAGGGAATAAACTTAAGCGGTGGTCAGAAGCAGAGAGTAAGCCTGGCCCGAGCGGTGTATCAGAGAAGTGATGTCTATCTGTTGGATGACCCCCTCAGTGCTGTCGATAGCCATGTGGGTCAGCACATCTTCAAGCATGTCATAGGAAGACAGGGATTGCTCAAAGATAAAGTGAGAACTTGTTTCTTACACTTTTTGTTTGCTATTTGTATTGTTCTTTTTTATTTATTGTTTTTTGTTTTTGTTTTGTTTTTTGTTTACAGTTTTTATTTTCTTGTTTTGTTGTCACTGTTCTAATGCTATTAATTAGGCAAGTAAGACCTCACAAATGTTAATCCAATAAGTATATTTGGCATTATATGTAGGCATTGTCTTGAATTTATGTTATCTTTGTCAGTCAATCTCCTCTGTCTTTTTTCCCTCCCCCTTTGTCTCCTTCCTACACTCATTTTTCTCTTCCTCATTCTTTTCACAAAAATTCTGACACACAGGAGGTCACTTTTGCTCACAACTCCGAATACCGAATGCATTTTTTGTCTTCTTCACAGACCAGAATCTTAGTCACCCATGGCATTCACTGGCTACCAGAAGTGGACATTGTTCTGGTAATGACCAATGGTCACTTAACTGAACAAGGCTCCTTGGCTGACCTGATGACCCACAATGGCCCATTTGCCCAGTTCTTGTCACAGTTTCTGACCCTGCAGCAACAGCACCAGCACAAGGGAGAAGGGGATCCTGGTGCCACTCTCACACCAAGTCCTGGGCATGAAGGGGGCAGTGACTCCAGTCTGACTCTAGACATTGACCCAGTCAGCGGTGAGTTGTATACCCCAAGATTTCCTGTCATTACACCTACATCATAACAGCGAGAAAGGAAAGCTTAACCTTAACCTTAATTTCACAGCACCTGCAAGTGAGTTAAAGTAACAATTGTGAGATCATTCCCTTAGCAACTTATGGATGTGAGTCATGGACTCTTACTCAGTCTTTGAAGAAAAAAATCAGAGCATTTGAACTGAAATGCAACCAAAAAATTTGTAGAATACCATAGCCAAGACAAAGAAAGGTTAAGATATTTTAGCCATGTTAAGCATTGTGGTGGCCTGGGGAGTGGAGATGGAGGGAGCTGTTTCCAACAACAACAACAAAAAGTCAGATGTCAACTGCCGCATAAGTGGATTCAAGACATTGAAAATGTATTGGCTATGAAAGCACATAGGGTTGGAGAATTGGCTAGAGAGAGATTTTCATGTGTGCCATGAAGAGAGTGACATTCTGTAAAGGATAAGCTGATTGATGATATCAAATACACAACAGAGAACCCTGGCTCTTGCTATGCTCGATGAGAAGTATCCAAACACCACTTGGACTCAGGTTTTCACTGACGGCTCTGCTACAGATGCAGTCAGAAAGGGGAGTTGTGGAATATACATTAAACCCCCTAGCAGTAGTGCAGAAACTCTCTCTCTCTCTCTCTCTCTCTCTCTCTCTCTCTCTCTCTCTCTCTCTCTCTCTCTCTCTCTCTCTCTCTCTCTCTCTCTCTCTCTCTCTCTCTCTCTCTCTCTCTCTCTCTCTCTCTCTCTCTCTCTCTCTCTCTCTCTCTACCAGCAGGTGACATCTGCACTAACTTCAGAGCTGAGGCAACTGCCCTCTTTTCTGCAGTCCAACATCTCATCACTCAAGAACACAGAGGGCACCAAATTGTTATACTTAGTGACTCATTGTCTGTTCTCCAAGCACTATAAAGCAAAAAACAAGAAACTAATTGCAGATCTAAGGACCAACATTGGCTTACTCTTCAAGGAAGAAGAACTGGTCTTGCAGTGGATACCAGCCCACTGTGGTATTCAAGGAAATGAGAGAGAAAATGAGTTGGCAAAAGCTGGGAGTAATCTTCCACAACCTCATCCACCACACAGCTACAAGGAAACCAAAACAGCGCTAAAGCAGTCTTTTAAGCGGGAGTGGAGAAAGCAGAATGGAGATTACAGACCATAGAGTGACAGCATAAACAAACTCAACAGGAAAGAACAAACATCAATTTTTAGACTTCGGACAAGACACTGTGGTCTTCGAGCACACCTGTACAGGATAGGCATAAAAGAATCTGCTGCCTGTGATTGTGGAGCAGAAAGACAGACCCCTGAGCACATACTGCAGTACTGCCCTAACCTCTCCCAGCAAAGACTGGATCTGGCCCAAGGGAGCCACATTGCAAGAGAAGCTATGGGGGATCGGTGGCGACCTTAAACGCACAATCCTATTTGTGACCCAGACGGGACTCAATGTTTAGCATGACTGATGTCGAACGCAGAAGAAGAAGAAGAAGAAGATGATATCAAATCATTAATGTGCTCTGTCTTATCAATCATTCAGGTTCTGTTTCTGTAGCAAAATTTAGCTGCAAATGATCTCCAACACTCTGTCTCTTGTATTGGTTGCACACTCTCTGTCTCTTGTATTGGTTGCACACTCTCTGTCTCTTGTATTGGTTGCACACTATATGTCTCTTGTATTGGTTGCACACTCTCTGTCTCTTGTATTGGTTGCACACTCTCTGTCTCTTGTATTGGTTGCACACTCTGTGTCTTGTATTGTTGCACACTCTCTGTCTCTTGTATTGATTACACACTCTCTGAAACAGTTGTTCATCCATCTGTATATGTTATCCTTTGATGTGTAATGCTTGCCTTCTGTTTTTAGCTACAGTATCATTTTAAAAAATGTTTTGTTTTTTAGTGTCGTCATGGGAAACAATCTCTGTGTGAACAATTGTTGTCAGTGTGTATCAGACCTCCTCTTCTTCACTTTCACCAGCTGTAAACTCTGACTGAAAATTCTGGTTGTTCATCCACTTCTGGACTTTGACCTTGTTCCAGGACTTTAGTGGTTACAGGCATATCAGTTTTACTTTATTGTTCACTGGCTGTAAGCTCTGACGGGTAGTCCTGATTGTTCGTCCATTTGAACATTGGCTTTGTGCCAGGGCCTTAGTTTTGCATGCACAATTGTTTTACTGACTTATTTGTGTGCAGTTGGTTGTTTCTTGCCGCTCCCACAGATGCATTCCAACTTCATAGGAAGCTCCCTATCAGTCGACTTCTAGGATATGTTTGTTGGTGAGGTAGTGGGTCTGTTCTTGTTGTCCTCACTATGGGGCCCCGCAACCCACACAGGATCATCAGTTTTACACTTATTTGTGTGCAGACACTTGGTTCCTGACCTCTCAGGCAGATGCACCCTGACTTCAAAGCAAACATCAATCAATCTACGCTGGCCAGGCCCCCGGTGGGAAACCTGTCTCTAGGATAACTGCAGAGAGTGTGGATAGGTCTTAACTAGTATAAGCCCTGGTCTTGATTCACTGCCTCGAACATACGAACAAACTTCATTTTCAAATGGTTAAGAATTTAACGCGCTTGCTTATCTAACATATTGCCCTTTTGGCCTCACTTCTTACATACATCAGTTAGTACAAAAATAACAAACATCATCAACATCTAATTCTTAGTTACATTTGCTGGAATATCATCTAATTATACCTACATTTCTAAACAGTAATAAGACTTAGCATAGTAAGTGTAATAAATAATAATAATAAAAACAACAAGTGATTTAGCAACTCAGCATCCCATGTATCAAACAAAACATGATTTTTTTAAAGAATATATTTTAACTGTTACCTCCAAATACTGTAAAATGTATTTCAGAAAAGACAGGGAAAGAATTGTTTAAGAGCCTGTTGTCTGTAGAATCACAGAGATCAGATCCTGCTGATATGAGAGGCTTGGAGACCTTAGGAAGTCACCGGTATGATAGTTTAGATTTGTTCATTATTTCTTGTTTCTTCTGTTGAATGTTGACTGTTGAATTAAGAATCAACATCACAGCACTCGGGACACTCCTATAAGTGCTCAGTCCCCATCTTCAGCAGCAAGCGAAGAATTCCAATTCCGATGGTACCAGTAACCGTCTGATTGTATATCTGTCTCATCCTTCCCCTGAGTGTTGAGTGTCGACCAGATCCCCTTGTAACTCTTCGCAGCGCCATTCTCCTTAGACTGCAATGATCTATCTGTGCCTCCGCACTGTTCACTCGCTCCCAAAGGGCTCTCACAATATTTAACTTGCCATACATCAATTCACCACCAAGTGGTGCAGAGCCAGCCAGTCTATCTGTCTGCTCATTTCCCAACACACCCGCATGACCTGGAGAAAATATCCCAAGGATGCTAACTACCCGGGATGTCTGAGGCAATGCTTTCCACTCTACACGAAGCGTGCCTGTTTTCACCTTTTTCAACATGCTCTGTGAGTCAGTTTCAATCACAGTGACGATTCCTTGGGTGAGCCCAGAACCAGAGTGCCATGTGTCAGCTCTGTATTTATGGAAGCCTCCTTGTATGGCGGGGAATGCCCTTGATCTGCCCCATGTCTTCCCATGAGAGCTGCCCAAACTACACGTCTTTGCCCTAAAGGGGCTCTCTGGGGGCAACACCTGTAGATAAAGGGACGAAGAGAATTCCACACAAATGAGGTAACATCTTGTCCAACAAAACAATGGCCACAGTCGTCCTAGAGATAGGATCGATGTCTTCCTTCGAAGACGGAGTACACCTGCAAAAGAGCAAGGGAACAAAGTAAAGCAGATGTACAAGCAAAACGCAGGTCCTGGAACAAAGCCAGAAGTCTAAATGGACAAACAACCAGGACTTTCACATGAGCTCACAGCCGGTGAACATGAACAAGAAGAGGAAGAAGACTTCCTGGAAACTGGTTATTTTGACAGCATTAAGCTGGTTAGTTATGACTGTATGAAACTTTCTTTCACCTTATGACATGTATTAATTTGACTGGAGGAAACTTTGTTTAACTTTTTGACATTTATTAGTTTGACTGCATGAATCTATATAGTTTCAATAAATGAAATTTTGTTTTTACTGCATGAAACTGGTTTCACGATTTTAGGACATTTTTTTCTGTGGTTTGGACAGAATTAATTGTGAGCTGACTTTTTTTTTACTGCAACATGAAGAAGCTAAAACATTCCCGAAGAAAGAAAAAGTATTGGCTGTATTGTGACATATAATTTATTAAATATAAGAGAAATCAATAAAAAAAATAACCTAAACTATTTAAGGATCAGTATTACAACAACAAACTGACACCACATTCAAGAATGTGAGACACACAAAGATTTCTGACATGTGAAGTTTTGTACTTTTTAAATTTTTTTTATTTTTAAACTCTATCAGAAACACTGTTTTCCATTTCTAAGAACTTACGTGCCTGCATCTACTTTATTTAGTTACACATCACCTAGTATTTATTTGAGACAATTAATAAAAATACTTTATATTGTATGACCATTTTTGTGTGACATGTCAAATTTCAGAACAAACAAATGAAAGACACAAAAATTGTATCGTAGTGTAAAACAAATTAAAAATGAATCATCTCACTTGCCAAAGCTTTGAGAAGATAAATACTTCATTTTGCTATTTGTAGTTTCTCAAAAAGGTTCATACAGATCCATTCTTCTAGTAAATGAAACAATGTTAGTGTCTTCCCTGTGTGGATTCCGGGACCCCATTGTGAGAAAAACAAGAACAGACCCACTGCCTTCCCCAAAAGCATGTTGTAGAAGTCTACTAATTGGAAGCTTTCTTCAAAGTCAGAGTGCATCTGCGCGAGAGGCAAGAAATCAAGATTCTGCAAAAAAAAAATTAGCCAGATCCTCTCAAATGGATATGAACACAACCCTCAGGTTCAGGTACAGGACTAAAATCCTAAAGTGGACAAATAACTTTCTGCTGGAAATTATTGCCGCTGAACATAAAGGAAAAAGAAGAAGATTAGAGTATCTGTGTGGTCAGTCACTTAAGTGGCGATATGTCTAAACGTGACCAGTTCTGCTGCCACCTAAACAGCGATATGTCTGGTGAACTTAATATTCATGGATGCAACTGATTAATTTGACTGCATGCATTCTTTAGTTACAAAATTTATGCTGCGTTGTCTTACATTTTATAATCTTGTATAATCCTGGTTGCCACTAGTAACATTGACCTTAATGAAGATCTGTCAGAAGCTGACTTGTCTAAACAGCTGAGTGTGACAGATGGAGAAAAGGATACCGGAAATGAAACTGCAAATTTAATTGAAGAGGAAGAATTAGCAACAGGAAGAGTAAGTTATTTCCCTTCATTACCTTAGGATACTTTTTATTAAATCCTGACCCACTGTAATAAGCATGTGACAATGGAAACATGTCAAAGATGATTCTCTAGAAGTGCAAGACAAGTTTAAACATACAGAAAATAAGAATTCTTTGAATAATCTTTGATCACAAATAGAAAATAAGAATTCTTTGAATAATCTTTGATCACAAATAGAAAATAAGAATTCTTTGAATAATCTTTGATCACAAATAGAAAATAAGAATTCTTTGAGTAATCTTTGATCTCATATAGAAAATAAGAATTCTTTGAGTAATCTTTGATTACATATAGAAAATAAAAATTCCCAGAGTAATCTTTGATCATATATAAAAAAATAAGAATTCTTTGAATAATCTTTGATCTCATATGGAAAATAAGAATTCTTTGAGTAATGTTTGATTACATATAGAAAATAAAATTCCTTGAGTAATCTTTGATCATATATAGAGAATAAAAATACACATGCAATGTTTGAGAGTCAGATCACATTTAGCTAATGTTGCTTGGATGTGGAAAAAAAAAGTTTAATAATCATGCCAAATCAAGAAGCACAGAATCAGAAATTTTCATCTGTGAACTATTCCCGCCAACACCGCTTTCCCATTTTTTCCCCACTTGCTTGTCCTCACAATGCATCATTAAACACTGGTGCTTCTATTTGACACTGCACAGTGTTTAGAAGGACTGGATGTGAATATATATTTACTAAAAAATTGGGTTTAGGGGTATTTTCTTGTCAATCCATTGCCTTCTGTCAAGCCATTTTGACATCATAATTTGTCCAGTTTCAGAGATCACAGCAGGAGTCACCCTGTTCGTGTTTTTTTATTATTCCTTTAATATATTTAGTAAATTTTTTTTTTAATGTAGACATATCTGGGTTTTTTTTTCAATGCATTAGTTTTTTTAAGTTTTTTTTGGGGGGTGTGTGTTGTGTGTGTAAAAGGGGAGTTGAAGTCCTGCAGGAATTGGACTTTTTAAAAAGAATTTTAGGAGCAACAGCGCTAAGGTACATGGATTCTAGCATGACGATGGCGGTGACACAGGCTTTCTTGTGGCTTGGATCACAGAACTATTCCCGTGTGTGTGTGCTGAGTGATTCTTTGAGTATGATCCCGCGGGTCTAGGCAGGCTGGTTATGCAGTGGCTTGAATCGTTGCAAAATTCTCCTGTGTGTGCAGTTACTTTCATATTCGTCACCAGGGCATGCAGGCGTTGTTGGTAATGAGAGAGCTGATAGACAGACAGGTGCTGCATTAATTGAAGTTGGCCAGCCCATGGATCATGCAGACATTGTCATTGCCCTTAGAGAGATAGGACGTTTTCAGGATTTTGGAAACAATGTGTCTACATCACTGCTAAGAATACATGAATTGGGAGAAAAGATCGCTACAGCCCAGCATGAGAAGCACACAGGACGCACATGAAGTCTTGTTAACCAACATAGGACTGGTACTATTAACCCCACGACGCTGATGATTATGTTAAGAGGGGAATCTGAGCGCCTATGGATATGTCCAGAGTGCTGTGAAGATAATCTAACTCATAACTCGTAACACGGATTCTAGTGCTTGTGTTGTTAATCTGTTGCATATTCTTTCTTCCACAGGTGAAATTGTCTGTTTATAGAACGTATATCAGATCTGTAGGCTACCTGTCGATGGCTGCCTTAGCCCTGTTGTATTTCAGCTACTACTGCTTTGATATGAGCGCAGGCTTCTGGATGACCTTCTGGGTGGACAGTCCACTTCTCAACAACATGAGTGTCTCCGCTGACAGCCCACTGCGAGAACAGGAAAATAATTATTACCTGGGGATATATTCTCTCTGGGGAATGCTTGGAAGTGAGTTCTTTGTATAATATCATCATGGTCGTTAACCGCTCACCACCATTGTCATTATTATTATCATCAGCTTCATAATTACCATCAGCATCATTAACACCACCATGTTCGACTTCAATCTAATATAGAGGATAGGCTTGGCAGAATGTTTAGCTTAGGGATTAGTTTTGCTTCTGACAGCATAAGGTGATTGCTAGAGGGGCTAAAACCAACATTCGCCACCAGAAATACAGTTAGTCATTGTTGTAAGTAGTCAGTCTTGATAAGTTGGCCATTTGCACACAAAATTATTGCGTAAGCTATGTCATCATCCCACAAGTAGACTTGATACCTGCCATACTGAATAACTTGAACAATAGCTGCACAATAAAATGCTTTTCCACATGAAGAACACAGATCACAGTTTTGCACCAAGCACCTAACTGGGTGGCTTAACTCTTTGAGTCCAAGGGGGTTTAGCATCAGAGGCCCAAGGGGTAGTCAAAATAGATGTAAAAATCGGCGCATCTTGGGTTCATTGGGCTTCTAGTTAGGAACCTATAAATGTATGATATGTTCCTTGGGACCCTAAGAGTTAAGTAGCGAAACAGTAGACTTCTGTCCATATGTGGAAAAAGTTGCAGAAAGTGCAAGGGTCACAGACTGGAAAGAAGAAGGTCTTGGATGGAACAGGTAGATAGACTGGCTAGATTTTTACGACTGTCACCTGATTCGTTGTTGCTGGTGTTTTGCATGATTTTTACCACCCATAGTGGAAAATGTTCAGCAACCCATTTCTCCAATCGTCGATCCATTCTCCCCACATATGCAGCATTACAGGTACATTTAAATTGGTAAATACAGTTCAGTTTTGCATACGTCGACACTGGTTCTTTCACCGGTGGTGTTGGAATTACAGTGATGATAAATATGTCATCCACATAACGTCAGTAAAATACCAAACTCAATATCAATGGACATTAGCCACAAAAACCAACCCAAAATTATCCTGACATGAGTTGGTTGAGGGCCATTAAAAAAAAGTAAAGGTTTCCTTTAGCCTTTAGGGGTATAGGGCACATAGCGCTAGACCTATTTTTCTATAGACCAATCGGCACAAGATGGGTGATGTGGTCAGCATCACACTGACTGCCTTTACTTCCCGGGACTGCACCCGGTACCCACTCAAGACTGGGTCGACCTGGGAGTCAAGGTCATTTTTAAAAAAAGTCTGGCTCCGCCAGGGAACAAACCCATGGCCTTCCTGTCTGCACGCGCGTCTAGTCGCTACGAAGGGCAGAAGAAGAAATGCTTTTTTTTTTTCAAGTTTAAAGTTTTACCTTTTTAAAACTTGCCCATATGTGACAGTTTTTATTCTTTTTGTCTATGCAGCACTGGTGATTGTGATTTTCACTAACCTGAAAGCTTGGAGACACCAGTATTCATGCCGGATCATCCACGAGGACCTGATCACATGTGTCCTGGCATGTCCTGTCCAGTTCTTTGACACAACCCCAGTAGGACGGCTTCTGTCTAGGTCAGTCTTTGTCAGACTCTACCGATTATAAGGGAGCTGCTGCAACATAGTAGTTAGATTCTCACCTGCTGGCTCCCAGAGTCTTAGGTTTGAACCCACATTAAAGGAATTTTTTTTCCTCTTCAAAATTGGCCTTGGATGCCGACCCAGCCAGAAATGAGTACCAGGAAATGTCCTGGAAAGTAAAGGCGGTTGTGACCATATTACCCCCCCTTGGTCTATAACAGTATGAGTCTAACAGCAGAAGTCTGATATACCACTAGCGTAAAAAGAGTAGTTTCCCTAAATTTATTTTTCCTTTTTTTTAAAGTTTTTTTTTTTTTGAAAAAAAAATTGTTTCTTTTAAATGATTTAAAAAAAAATTATTTAAAATTCTTATTCTTTTGTTATTTCACTGACACCAGCTTGTAGCCCAGTGTCATAGTTTTTCTGTATTTGTCTTGCGCTTCTCAGGTGGCTTTGGTGGTGGATTAGTTCATCTTTTTACAAGTTTCGGCTGCACCATATATCCTTCTCTTTTTTGGTCTTCCCCTCGCCTAACTGCCAGATGTTCTGCTACAAAAAGTCTCACATGCATTTTGGTAATTCTTTCACCAGTTTATACAATGTAGGACCTGTGTTTTGATTTTTCTGAAATTTTTGGTCTTTTGGATATGTTGGAGACAAAAAACATAAAACACAGGGAACATGAAACACGTAGAACATAAAATACGTAGAACATGAAACCATAGAACACATACAGTAGATGCATTTTTTACTTCCTTTGTCTTTTTTCACTTTATTTAGGAAATTTTATTATTTTTAAAACCCACTACACTAAAACAAGCATGTAGGAAGAGTCTAATAATTGGGGATATTTCCTTCAGATGCATCTGCCTGAAAGGCAAGGAACCAACAGTCTGCATACATATAAACCTGATTTGGTAAATGGATGTGCATGCAAAACTCACATTAGTGGACAAATAACCAGAACTTTCTTCATGAGTTTACAGCCGGGGAACACACAGAAGAAGAAGAACCCAAAGAAGATAAAATAAAACTACAATGGGCAGATAGAGTAAAACTCACAATTCTGAATAATGAGGCAATGCAACAACCATCTGCAGTTAGATGAACAGTCAGAAATGTGTGCTGTTTTTAGACTCACTAATAAATGTATAATTCCCTGTGTGGCTTCCAGGGCCCCATTGTAGGGAAAACTAGAATAGACCCACTGTCTCCCTAACAAGCATGTCATAAGAGTCAACTAATTGGGGGGGGGGGGGGAAGCTCCCTTCTAAGTTGGTGTGCATCTGCCTGAGAGGCAAGGAACCAACAATCTGCTTACAATTAAGTCAGCTCTGTTAAATGGATGTGCACGCAACACTCAGATTCTGGAACAAGACTGAAGTCAAGAAATGGACAAACAACCAGAACTGTCTGCCGGATTTTTCAACCGGTGAACGCAAAGAAGAAGAATGGCTGATGAGTTGTGAGGTAATGAAAGAGTTAAAAATCAGTTGTGTGTTCTTTAAAGGATTTTGCAGAACCAACTCACATTTTTTTTTAGCTGTTGTGGTTTTTCTAGGCAAATTTATGTTCAGTAGTTTGCCATTGCTTACTGAACGGTCACCTCTCAATACTACTTTCAACACCAATGTCAGGCGGCCTGCTGCCAAATCGCCTGCAGCTGGGATCAAACCTGGCACTCCTGCATTTCGAAGCATGTCACCACGCCCAAACCACAGACGCCGACGAAAGAGTTGAGCTTAGTTTAATTGTAAACACATAGATTAATGTGATTTGGCCACATTATCTGGGACTTATCTTAGGCTAGGTGTCGACCTGGTAGCCCAAGGTCAAGTGTGAAAGAAAAAATCTGCCTTGAAGCTAAGACTTTCAGGCAGCATGCAAGTGTCTGTACTACTGCAGCTCCCGTTTCAAGCTAAAACATCATACGCCTACAGTTTCTTCAACCTCGTCTTCTTCTTCGTCTTTTTCTCTGTTTTACTCTTTTTCTTCTTCTTCTTCTTCTTTGACTTCTTCTTCATCTTCTCCTTCTTATCTAGCTCTTTTCTGCTTTTCAGTATCATGTGCAAGCCTTGGTATCCTGGCTATTGTATCTATCCATTCCTTGTGTGGTTTACCTCTGGAACTGCTTTCATTATGTCTAAGTGACAGGGCTCTGTAGTGCACTGTATGGTGGTATCTTGACACATGACCAAACCATTCAGTTTGTTGTCTCTTGATGCAGTTTAGTACTGGTTCCGTCCCAACTTCTTTCCTGATATGCCCACAGATTCTCCAAGGACATATCTGTTGTGGATACCACACTGCTGCTGTGGATGGAGGTGTGGATGCATTCTGTCTTTGGCATCGTCTGTGCCATCAGTGTGGTCATCATCAACATCCCAGTGTTCCTGGCAGCTGCCGTTCCCGTAGTGCTGCTCTTTTATATCATCCAGGTATGGTGTTTTCACAGCTTTACATTTCAGTTGAAGGTGATAGGTTCAAATCCTCTTTGAGTTGAAATTTCTTTTCAAAAATGGCATTGGCTCCTTGGCTGACCCAGCCTTAAATGGATACTAGGTAAAGTCCTGGCAAGTAAAGACGGCCGTGTGATGTTAACCACATTACCCATCGAGGACCGATTGGTCTATACAAATATGAGTCTAGCTTTGTATGCCCAATGTGCTACTGGCAAGTAAAGGCGGCCGTGTGATGTTAACCACATTACCCATCGAGGACCGATTGGTCTATACAAATATGAGTCTAGCTTAGTATGCCCAATGTGCCACTGGCATGTAAAGGCATCTTTACTTTAGTCCCCCCCCCCCCCCTCCCTCAACGTTACAATTGCTTCAGTTAGTCACATTGTCCCTCGTCATTTTGGTGTCTTTCCAGACATCCCTAGACACTTAGGAAATATTATTTAAGGAAATTCATGAATCTTCAATGGAATCACTTCCCAAAAAGGTAAAGAAATAAGATGAATGTCTGGACAACTGCTTTTATCACCAGTCATAAGATAAAGATGATGTTGGTATATTGGGCATGTCATGGAGAAGCAGATAGAGAGTTACCAGACCGGCACTGAAATGTGAAACAAATGAATTGAGATAATGAAGATGTCTAAAAGAAACCCTGAGATGAACATTGATGAGAGAGACCAGAGGTTCTGGCCTGGATTCCATCCTTGATATTGAAACAGTTGCACAGAATAGGATGGAAAAAAAAAAAACTACAAACCTTCTGTGATGTACAGAGCTGCAGTGATGTAGAGGCTAGGTGCTTGCTTCTGGAGTCCGAAATTTTTGGGTTCAGGTTCTAACGCAGCCAGACTTTGAAAAAAAAAGGACCTTGGCTCCCAGGTCGACCCAGCCTTAAATTGAAACCAAGTAAAGTCCTAGGAAGTAAAGTCGGCCAGCATAGTATTAACCCCATCGCCCACAAAGTACTGATTGGTCTATAAAATAAAGGCCCAGTACTATTTGGCCAATACGCCCAAAAGCCTGGAAAAGAGTTTGTGTTTTTTTAATTTTATTTATGTGACGTAACAGCACAACAGGTTGATGATGATGATGAATTCAAAAAATTATTTACAAAAAACTGAGTTGTTGGCCTAAGGCTGAACTAGTCATAAAATAGTCCTGCCCCTTCTGATGCTTGAACCTGGACTACTGTCTCAGCAGGCAAGCATACTAAACACTATGCCACAGTGGCTTTCCTTAACTCTTTAAGGCCCGAGTAATGCTGCATATGTTGACAGAGAAGTTCCAATTTTCCCAAACCAAACAGTCTGCGTCGATGATGTGTAATGTATATAATTATTCGTATGGCTCCGTATTCGTTTTTAATGTTCGGAACTTCCTTTAAAGTATTTAGGAAAGGTTACTTTAAAGTTTTTCTTTAAATACAAGTCTTTATTTACACATTTCGGCACAGATTTGTCTGATTCATTCCTAGTGATTTTCAGACAGTGAATTTTCCTATTTCAAATTCAAATAATTTCAGAAATGGTACCTGCCGACATCATGCCAACTTCGAAGACTGGAAAGGAAGTGCCTGGCGCCCGTGTTTAGCCATGCAAGTGAATCGTTTGCTGGTACCTCCGTCATTCGAGCTTTAGGAGAAGAGGGCAGGTTTATCAGAACAGCAGAGGAGAAGATTGACTTCTGTCAGAAGATGAAGTATGCTAGTTCTGCTTGTGAGAGGTAGGCATCACAATAGAAGTAGTAAGTCAAGTAAAGCACCCTTTTCTGCACCTTTAGGTGTATTAGGCATATATTGCGAGACCTATATTTTATAGACCAATCAGTACTTGGTGGATGATGTGGTCAGCATCATGCCAGCCACCTTTACTTCCCAGGACTTGTACCTGGTACCCACTCAAGGCTGGGTCATGACCGGCTGCAGCTGACGGGCCGTGCTGCAAACATCACCGGATCGGGTTAAAAATACATTAACATAGGGGTTCTCAAACTGGGTGCGAGACACCCCCTCTGGTGCCTTGAGTGTATGCCAGGGGTGCCGCGGCAATAATCAAGAAAATTTGGCTAAAAATTGTGAAATTATTAAAGAAGGCATGTAGTTACTTAGAGGTTAAAATGTAAGTTGTCTTCCCTTGCCCCTGTTGAAAATAGTTTATTTCTTGTTTGAGAATCGCTCCATTAACGCATCGTAAGCCCGTCAGCTGGAGCCGGTCGTGGCTAGGTCAACCTAGGAGCAAAGGTCATTTTTTTTTAAAAAGTCTGACTGTCAGAACCGGAACCGTATCCTCCATGTAATATAGTGACACAGAAATAGAGAACTTTGCTAGAATAAGGGTTTTGCACTTGCTTACCATGATTGTACTCAAGTTAGATGGTTGAAGGCCTGTGCTCTATTGGGAGCTGATAGATAGGAGAAGAGCAAAAAGACATGCAAAAGAAGCATCAAAGTCTATCTAGTGAAGACTGTATTTCTGAAACAGGTCTGCCTCCCTAACAAGCATGCCATCCAGTACCACTAATTAGGGGTGTATCATTCAAAGTCTGAGTGCATCTACCTGAGAACCGAGGAACCAACAGCCTACATACAGATAAGCCAAATCTGTAAAGGGGATGTGCACATAAAACTCAAGTCTTAGAACGAGACCAGATTCCAGAAGTGGATGAACAACCAGACTTTTCAACCATAGTTTGTACAGCTGTGGAATATAATGAAGAAGAATCAGGTAGCTAAGGCAGGGACAGGAAACGATCAAGAGCTGTTTTCCAAATAAACAACAAAATAATGAAAGAGAAAGTATCTGTTCTATATTCTGATTCTTTGATATGGATGTCTGCAGATGGTTGTCCATTCGACTTGGCCTGCTGAGTAATTTATTAGTTCTCGTTACTGGACTGCTGGCGGTGACCTTCCGAAGTGACCTCACCCCTGGTTTGACTGGTCTGTCGTTAAGTCTGGTCTTGATTGTAAGTGACGTCTGGCATTTTTGTTTGAAAACATCTGTGTGGCATCTGTTGTTGTTTGAAACTTTGTCACATTGAATTTATCGTACTTACAAGATTTAATGGAGTTTGGAATGGGCAACAAGAAACATTGACTAAAGGTCTATTACTATATCTCTGTTTTTAGATTAAACTTATGAACAATATCTTTCTTTGCCTGCTTGTTGTTCTAACTCATCTCCCTGTCTGGGTTCCGGGGAACCCACTGCCTTACCAAGAGGTCAACTGATTGGAGGGGCATTCTTTGAAGTTGGAATACATTTGCCTGAGAGGAAAGCAACCAAAAGTCTGCATACAAATAAACCAGATCTGTGAAACAGAAGTGCATGCAACATCCATGTTCTGGAATAAGACTCAGGTCCACAAGTTCGTGGCCTCCACAAACACCTAGAACTTTCTGCCAAAGTGTACAACCGGTGAACGTGAATAATGATAAGAAGTTCTGACTCATCTTCACCAAGGCAGAGTTTCTGAAATCTAAAACGGTAGGCTGACAGAGCAGCTGGTATACTCCTTGACTAATCTATGAGAGACGACTGAAGCATGTTCGGTGAACGTGACCCTTCACAGTTACACTGAACCAGGGCCAGTCAGTTGAGTTTACTCATTGGCCAAAATGTTGGGAGATGGGGATCGTCACGGTCCAGAGACCCAAGTCCCAGCATTAAAATTAATGCAAAACAATAAGCAGGTGATCTGTGGGGCCACTTGCTAGGCTTCTGTGGGCCAGATCTGACCCGTGGGCCACCAGTTCAGTAGCCCTGCCTCAAACTGAAGGTCAGAGGGAATTGTTCAAAAGGTTAAGAACACTGAAAGCAGGTTAGTTTTATGACTGATCACTGGTCAAAGTTTAGTGTAGTGTATAAAATAAATTATAGCAGCCGCAGTAGCATAGAGGCAAGATGCTCACTTACTGGCCCAGAAGTTTTAGGTTTTAACCCGCACCATAACAGATTTTTGCTTAAGAAATAACCTTGGCTCCCCAGGTCAACCTAGCCTAAAACAGGTACCAGGTAACGGGGTGGGAAGTTAAAGGCAGCCTTGTGTGATAGTGTCTACATCGACCACCAACTGCTGATCGGTCTATAAAGAAAGATTCTGACATGACAATGCACTGCTGGCATGAACAAGGTCCTTTACTGACTTACTGTCAGCGTCTGTGGCTTGGGTGTTGCGAACAGGCTTCGTAAGGCCGAGTCTTGGCTCAATCCTAGCTCGGGGTCTTGTGCTTTAAGTTGGTTTTGACAGTGGTCTAGAGAAGCCAACCGTCCAGAAAGCTGTGGCAAACTCCTGGATGTAAATTTGCTTTAAAAACCCACAACAGCCAAAAAATGCTGGGGTTGGTTCTGGCTGACTTACTACTACTTTCTTCTTACAGCCCGTGCTGTGTGGTGTTAGTCATGTCTATCCACCACCTGGCACCTCATGTGCTTTTAGTCCATTTCGACGCAACTGATCTTCCATGTCATGATGTCATACTGTCCAGCATCTTCTCTCTCCTCCCTCTGCCTCTTCTCCCCTTCAACTTTCCCACTGTCACTATGTTTCCCAGTTTTCTCCTTCCCTACTGCTGTTACCACTTTTCCCTCTTTCCAGATGATAGTGTTATACTGTGCTATGAGGGGTAGGACGCACAGCCTATGGTAACGCCAAGTGTATCTAGCAAGTTCTGCCTGCGTTAAGAAAAATCTTAATTTACATTCATTGGTTGTTTTGTCTCTTTTTTATTGGTGCATTGGCTTTTACAGTCTGCGATATGAATTTTGTCCCAGCTCTAAGCACATAGGTTGTGGTGGATCAATGCTTTATTGGTCAGGTGCTGCCCATCTTGAGGCAGGCAGTAGCTGATCAGTGAAATTTGAAACATGTTTCCCACCATCAGAGGCAACCCATGGTGCCCTCATCTACACCAGTTGACCAGGATTTATAACCCAGAACTGCCGCCTCTTGATGTTTCCTGCCTTACTAACTTATCATAATGATTTGACTTGATGCTGCTATCTACATGGACTCACAGATCACTTCAGAGATGCAGATGCAGGTGAAGATGGCAAGCTTCATGGAGATGGACATTGTTTCTGTGGAGAGAATTTTACAGTACACCCACCTGACTCCTGAGGTGAGCTTATTTAGGAATCATAGATGCTCCATCTTGCAAAACAAATGTCTTAAGGTGTTCTTGCTAACTGTTCCCATAGCCGACTGATTATATACACGTTTTTCTCTTCCTCTCATTCGTCCGTCTTTGCCGGATGCTCACCTAATTCCTCGTTCACACATTTCTTGCTGTTATTTCATCTAACCTCGTGACTTCTATCAGCATTTGATTTGATTCAAGAACCGACATCACAGCACCCGGGGCATTCCCATAAGCGCTCCGTCTCCATCTTCAGCAGCCAGCGAAGAGTTCCGATACTAATGGTGCCAGTAGCTTTCTGATTAAATGTCCGTCTTGCCTTTCCTCTGAGCCTTGAGCTTCTGCCAGAACCTCTCATCACCCCCAACTGCATCAATCTCACCAAACTGTAGTGATCCATCTGCTCCTTCTAATTCTCGCTTCTATCAGCATTTGTTCATAAATGGTTTTCACAATGTTTCTGTTGTCCAGTATGAGTGTAGAGGTAAAAAAGTAAAGGTAAAGTCGGGAGATGTGAACCAGCGTCACTGCATACGGTTATAAACCATAAGTGCTCTCCCACCAGTGCAGACAGCTGATAAGAAACTGTCCACGTGTCGCCGTCCGCATGTTAACCCCAGAGTGTTAACTCTGGTACCCATTACCTAGCGGTTAGATGAACCCCAGGAACTGCCCGGTTTCGAACACCGGCCGTGGGCTGCAGGGAGTCGCAGCTGGATTTGAAAGCGAGTCTCCTATCAATTGTGCTAGTGCGGCCATGAATGTTCCTGTAGCTATCACTTTTGTAGCCAGAAAATCCACACTTTCATTTTCTCCTACTCCTTAATATTCCGGACAGTATATCCAAGTTAGATGAGCATGAGCTAAATCTTGCAACACAAAAAACAATTTTTTTTAATTTTAATTTTTATTTTTAATGATAACAAAACTGTTTCTAGCTTGCTGAGAGTCTAAGATAGGGAGGCAAAAAGATAATCCACAGGTAGACTTGCAAACACTTGGAGCTATGAACCAGAAAGAGAAGGCCAGTCACAGAGACAAATGGAGGCAGGTGATGTTTGTAGCAGTTATCATCATGAACAACCAAGACTTTCCGCCAGAGCTTTCAGCCAGTGAACAAAGAAGAAGAAGAAGAAGAAATGACAAGACAGTTGCCAATATATGGAGAATGTTTTATTCAATGGAAACTAATTTACTAGTTGATATTTTGTTCTGACATTTTCACAACTGTTTGTCAGTTTTAATATTTTACTGTATTCAACTAACAACTACTTAAGGCTCCGAGGTTCCTTCATTGTCCGGAATACACCAATGAATGGCCTAGATCAGGCGATATCAGCTTCCAGGATGTTTGTCTACGCTATAGGCCTGGTCTGGACCTCGTCCTGAAAAATATCACTTTTGACATACATGATGGAGAAAAGGTAGGCACGACAGAATTGATAAACAGATTTTTATCCACATTGGTAGCTGATTATATATACCAAGCAAATTACCCTGTGTTTTCACAAAATGGAAAAAGAGAACAATAATACTATAATCTATTATTCATGTGGGAGCTGCTGTAATGTAGTGGCTAGATGCTCGCCTGTGGATCCTAAGGCTGTGGGTTCAAATCCAAATTGAGCTGGTCGTTTTAAAAAATGTCCTGGGTTGCTAGGTTAGCCCAGCTTTAAATGGTACCAGGTAAAATCCTGGGAAGAAAAGGCGGCCGGTGAGATGTTGACCACATTGGCCACCAAGTACCAGTTGGTCTGTACAGTAAAGCTCTAGCACTATGTAGCCATGCATATGCTGAAGACATGGACAAATGTACTTTACTTTAGCAAGCATGTCATAATGGGCAGCTAAATAGGATTTCCATACCTACCCATCCTTAAAACGTTTGCTGTAAAATCAAATCAAAAACAAGTCTACAAATAACTTACCAGCAGTTATTCAGGGAGTCTATGCTTCATTAACCCTGTCATTCTGAGAAAGCCAGTTTTCCTAATGTTGCATTTTTTTTTTCAATGACATGATCTCTTTGGACAGGGGTCTCTAGGCCTATAGCTTTGGTACTGGCTGCAACTTCATAGTGTATAGATATCAGTGTTTCTGTCATTGTTTTACATAATAGACTTTTGATGATGTCACTTTTGCACACTGTGGCTGTGAGGTAAACATATAGACAACACACATTCAAGCAGGCAGTAAGGTAAACAAACAGCACACATACAAACATGAAATGAGGTAAACAAACAGCACACACGTATCCAGACACACATGTAACCAAATGCACAGACACATAATCATTTTCTGGGTCTTAATAAAGTAACATTACAAGGAATCAAACTCCAGACATTCACTGTTGTATGAAGGTATATACAGCACCAATATATCTAATATATGTACAGCACTAACCCTAGTAATTTATTTGCTTAAAAACAATCTTGTATTCACCAGTATTTATATGTGAACTTACAGATTGGCGTAGTAGGTAGAACTGGTGCTGGCAAGTCCTCTCTCATGCTTGCACTGTTTCGTCTGATCGAACCTTGTCAGGGAAAAGTGGTTATTGATGGCCTGGACGTTTCCAAGCTAGGCCTGTATCAGCTGAGACAGAAGTTAACTATATTGCCACAGGTAGGCACTGCATTAGTACATTGTTGGGTACTGATTGGCACACGTAAGTTGAGAATTGAAGGAAATGCTGCCAGCATTCTTTCTGACGATGAGTAGGGAAAAAGAGTAGAATGAGAAAAAAGAAAGAAAGGAAAAGAAATAGCTAATACAGGGTGATGGTCTTACTTGTTTTTTTTTTTTATGGTAAAGATCGACTCATATGAGGTGAAATTCCCATTTCCTTCCTCATCACCTTTTTCCCCAAACACTTGTGGAAATTGTCTGGTAACCATGTTTATGTCAGTGTCTGTGGCTCAGGCGTTGTGAGTGCGTACCAGGGTGCTGGGTTCAATCTGAGCTGCAGACGGTTTGTCTTGCCTTGGTTTTGACAGTGGTACCGAGAGCTGTCCATTCAGAAAGCAATGGCAAATTACTGAACCTAAAATGTGGCTAGAAAAACCACAGCAGCCAAAAAATTCTGGAACTGGTTCTGCAACATCCTGTAAAAAAAAACCGCAACTAACTTGTAATAATGTCTATGACACTGGGCACTTTGAGAAGTGTGAAGACGTGGTTTTAGAGAACTATGCTGTGGATAGTGTGAACAGCCAGAGTAACTAACGATGACTACCGGGAAATGGCCAGTGAAATTAGAAAACTATATACAACTATAAGAGAATGATAGTCTTTCTTCGGTCATGTCGTGAGAAGAGAACCATTGGAGAACATCGTTACCACTAAAAAGATCAACGGTAGAAGAGGCAGAGGCAGACCAAGAGTGGCTATGCTTGACAGCCTGAATAGATGGCATGGTGTCATATTGTCAGTTGAACAGATTCAGAATGCTGAGGATGAGATCAGTGGAGCGCCTACACTGCCTGGCAAGCATATAATGATGTTGATAATGATGGGTTGACCCCAAGAACTAACAAGTTTAAAAAAAAAAAGCCATGTTTGTTGAAGAGGTTTGGGAGGGGGGGGGGGGACACAATACTCATTCATTAAACTTTTGCCACATTGTAAATAAGGACAGCATTTTTCTAATTCTGTTTACATTGACCAGTGACAAAGTGCTAAGATTTCTTGAAACTGCCACAATTATTCACTTTCATCCAGATTTGTGTAAACAGAAAGATATGGTAGTGAATCTGTGCCTGTCCTGGAAAACATTTCTGAAAATGGTTGATTGTGTATTTCAGTTTTACAGGATTAATTTATTTGCTTCATTTTATGCACTGGTTAATGCAGTATGCACTTAATGAGATACAAGGAAATAGGCCAGGCAATAAATTGTGCAATCTGTTGTTTGTGTCTTTGTTCAGATTTACAATGGGAAAACATTATTGCTGTACTGAAAATGTGGACCATCTACAGTCAAGCTTAATAGTTTTTCTTTCAGCAAGGGGTTGGCTACCTCATCATGTAAAAACAATTGCCACAAAAACCAATCAACTAGGGAAAAGTCAAAAAGAGAAACAAGAAAACCCCAACCAGCCATATAACTAGAATGTTTTTGCACTGAACCCGCAGCAGCATATAAATTAAGGCAAATTAAAAAACACATAGAGAAGGAAGCTGGAGAGTGTAGTTAAAAAGACAGAGAGGACATGGGGTGGGCATCATGCAACAGCGAAGGATAGAACAACTTGGTGTGAGCTGGTTGAGGTCCTATGCTCAGTCAGAGGATAGAAGGCAGAGGATAGAAGGCAGAGGATAGAAGTCAGAGGATAGAAGGCAGAGGATAGAAGGCAGAGGATAGAAGGCAGAGGATAGAAGGCAGAGGATAGAAGGCAGAGGATAGAAGGCAGAGGATAGAAGGCAGAGGATAGAAGGCAGAGAATAGAAGGCAGAGGATAGAAGGCAGAGGATAGAAGTCAGAGGATAGAAGTCAGAGGATAGAAGGCAGAGGATAGAAGGCAGAGGATAGAAGGCAGAGGATAGAAGTCAGAGGATAGAAGGCAGAGGATAGAAGGCAGAGGATAGAAGGCAGAGGATAGAAGTCAGAGGATAGAAGGCAGAGGATAGAAGGCAGAGGATAGAAGGCAGAGGATAGAAGTCAGAGGATAGAAGGCAGAGGATAGAAGGCAGAGGATAGAAGGCAGAGGATAGAAGGCAGAGGATAGAAGGCAGAGGATAGAAGGCAGAGGATAGAAGGCAGAGGATAGAAGTCAGAGGATAGAAGTCAGAGGATAGAAGTCAGAGGATAGAAGTCAGAGGAAAGAAGGCAGAGGATAGAAGGCAGAGGATAGAAGGCAGAGGATAGAAGGCAGAGGATAGAAGGCAGAGGATAGAAGTCAGAGGATAGAAGTCAGAGGATAGAAGGCAGAGGATAGAAGGCAGAGGATAGAAGGCAGAGGATAGAAGTCAGAGGATAGAAGGCAGAGGATAGAAGGCAGAGGATAGAAGGCAGAGGATAGAAGGCAGAGGATAGAGGCAAGGCATAGAAGTCAGAAGTCAGTCAGGGATAGAAGTCAGAGGATAGAAGGCAGAGGATAGAAGGCAGAGGATAGAAGGCAGAGGATAGAAGGCAGAGGATAGAAGGCAGAGGATAGAAGTCAGAGGATAGAAGGCAGAGGATAGAAGGCAGAGGATAGAAGTCAGAGGATAGAAGTCAGAGGATAGAAGTCAGAGGATAGAAGGCAGAAGAAGAAGAAAATAATGACCATTTGTGAAGCTAGTGGTTTTATTGTTATGTGTTTCTGGAGAATCTGTTCAGTCCTTTAGCTGGAGCAATAAATGAGCCAGATTCTGGTTTCTTTTATTAATTCTCATTTCTTTATCTCTCATAAAAGCAGTGGTTTTCAACCTGGGGGAAGTTTCAAGGAGAGCATCATGCGATTTTGAAATTGAGTGCAGTTGTACTTGTGATAATATTGTTCTTCTTCTTCACTTTCACAGGCCTTAAACTCCAGCGGAAAGTTATGGTTGTTTGTCCACCTCTGGACCTTTAGTCTTGTTGTAGAACCTGAATGTTGCATGCATATCCATTTTACACATCTGACTTATTTGTATACAGACTGTTGGTTCCTTGTCTCTCAGGCAGATGCACCCTGACTTTGAAGGATGTCCCCAATTAGTCAACTCTTACAACATGTTTGTTGGGGAGGCAGTGGGTCTATTCTTGTTTTCCCATGATAGGCCCCGAACCTTCACTGGGATTAATAAAATGTAATTTTCCCCATACACATAAAAATATATGTGTGTGCGCACACACACACACACTTATATGTTTTCTTAGATTAGCACGTGTTATTTAAAACCATAGAGCTTCAGAGCTTTGTATAGTTTAGGGCCTCACCTGGTCTAAATCTGACACTGGATTCATGTACGACTGATTTTTTTTCAGGATCCAGTTCTCTTCTCAGGCAGCCTGAGGTCAAACTTTGACCCTTTCGACCAGTTCACTGATGAGGACATCTGGAAGTCAATAGAGCATTGTCATCTGAAAGGTTTTGTGGAGACATTAGCCGAGGGCCTGGACTTTGTTGTTGGAGAGGGAGGAGACAATCTGAGGTGTGTCAGTGTGTTAGTTGTTGTCTTTTTATTTTTGTAGAAATGCTTCCATTGCCATATAGCAGTTACCTAACTTGTTTTATTCTAAGCAGGGGTTATTTGAAATTGTAATCTTTCAGGTTTGAGAACTTCACAGGATAGTCATGTGATGCAGAAACAGAAAATGCAGTTACAGTCGGGCTATGACCTGGGTGTACTAACATCTTACCTAGCAAGGCCAGATTTCTTTAGTATACTCTGACACTATATTTTTTTAAACGCTATAAAGTGCCATGGAACCGCAAGTATTAATATGTCGACGGTGTTCAGCTGTAAAATGGGGGGGGGCTTTGTGGTTATTATGATGTTTTTAAATGATGTGCTAAGTAGAAAAAAAACATGTTGGCTCAACTTTCAACTTGGGAAGCCATTCCAGAGAGAATGATAACTGGTGACTACATAAATCAAGAAGCATAGATGTGTATGACGGCACTGACCTTGATTTCTTGTCTACCCCCCCCCCCCCCCCCCCCCCCCCCCCCCCCCCCCCCCCCCCCCCCCCCCCCCCCCCCCCCCCCCCCCAGTGTTGGTCAGCGGCAGCTCATCTGTCTAGGTAGAGCCTTGTTGAGGAAGACCAGAATTCTAGTCCTGGATGAGGCAACTGCAGCAGTGGATGTGAAAACAGATGAGCTCATACAGAAAACTATAAAGTCTGAGTTTGAATCCTGTACTGTGCTAACTATCGCTCACAGACTCAACACTATTATGGATTATGACAAGTATGTATTCTGATTTTTATTTTGTTGAATATTGTAGCATGTGGTAAGAATGTATGTAATTGATGTTTCCCCTGAATTTTGTGCTCTCTGTATCAAAGATCTTGGAGGTGGGGTCTCCACTGTCATGTTGTCATTTGAACTTCCTACTACTCATATCAATTATCTGTGATTTTTCTGTTGAACAATTCTGATTACAGTTAGAGGAAGAATTGTTTGAGCAATACAGAGAGAGGCTTAATATTATGTGGAGCCTTAGGCACATCAGTCAACAAAATTCAAGTAACCGGGAAGGCTAACCAGGGCAACACATGCCTGCAGCAGTTGAACGCATCTTCCAACAGGCGCAAATATCATAGCCCTGCTGTAACCTGTCATAATGTACTACTGATGTGAATCATAGACTTTCTCATAATCACTTCAACAACAAAAATCAGGGCTTTTGAACTGCCATGTTACAGGAAGGTTATTAGAATTTACATCAAGAAGAAGAAACACTGACATTCTTCAGGAGCTTCTTCTTCTTCTTCTTCGCGTTCACCAGCTGTAAACTCTGGCGGAAGGTTCTGGTTGCTCGTCCACTACTGAACTGCAGTCCTGCTCCAGAACCTGAGTGTTGCGTGTGCATCAGTTTTACAGATCTCATTCTCTTGAATACAGACTGTTGGTTCCTTGCCTCTCCGGCAGATGCACTCCGACTTCAAAGGAAGCTCCCCAATTAGTCGTCTCTTACGACATGCTTTTGGGGAGGCAGTGGGTCTATTCTTGTTTTCCCCACAATGGGGCCCCGGAACCCACACGGGGGACTTCAGGAGCTGAATGTCGAGAAGGTCTGGCTAATTTCTTACAAACTGCCATTAATAAACCCCACTGCCACTCCGGCATCTGTCTTTACAATCACAGCAGATGTTGTTTCCAAAGCTAGCGGCACATCTACATAGTCCCCAGGGACTGACGGATACCATGATTATATTATTATTATTATTATTAAACACCAAAATGGTTTGGTAAGAACAGTAAGGAAAGTTATGGTTCCAGAAAGGAAAGGTAGGGACCCACCAGCACTGTGGTGGGACACATCTATCGAAGGCACCTTGGGTATGATATTTTCTAAAGGAAAAAACTTGGCAAGGAACCAAGGGCTTTCTAGCCAGCCATGATGAAAGTGCAATAAACTTGCCATATGATAATAATAATAATTACAGTCTTCATTTTCCTATCGTCAACAACACTTGTCATGAAAAAACATTAGATCTACTATGTTTTATATGACTAGTGTAGGGAACATTTAGCATGCCTTCTTGATTGCCTAATTCACATAGAAAATTGAGGTCAGAGTTCACTAACACATCTCTGCTGAATGCAGTCAGTAAAAAGTCAAGGATCCTTCTCCACACCATCAGGCATAATGGGCTAGACAATGGCACTCAGTTCAGGCATCATAAGAATTTGAACCCATGACCTTCGAATCCACAGTCTAGTGTCTAGCCTTTACACCACGGTGGCTTCCGCTGGATGCAAACATCTTTTATAACAACTGTCACATCATGTCATTAAAAATAAAAACTGAATGGTCAGTATTTAATCCTCGAAAATTAGCATAAAACATCAAGTAATGAAAATATAGAAAAACTGAAAGTAAGGAGATGTTTTGTGAATATAATATTGTGAATGCCATGGACAGATAAGAACACACATGCTGGAGTAACTGATAGCAGTGGGCATACTGTTTCTTCACTTCCTCTGGGCATACTGTTTCTTCACTTCCTCTGGGCATACTGTTTCTTCACTTCCTCTGGGCATACTGTTTCTTCACTTCCTCTGGGCATACTGTTTCTTCACTTCCTCTGGACACACTGTTTCTTCACTTCCTCTGGGCATACTGTTTCTTCACTTCCTCTTTTACTGCTTTGGGCATCGAGGAAGATTAAAGATTCTGCTTCTTACTCCTCTGGTCACCTCAACCAAAGATGGATGGTGCTGTTGTAGTTTCTCTGATGTTATCAATTGATTTGCTGTCTTTGTGAGTAATTTAGAATTGGTTATGTGCCGACTTTTTTCTCTTTGACCTCATTCTTGATTTGATCTTATCTAGTAACTACTGCAGGCCTTTTCAGATATCTTGTCTGGATTACTAGAATACATTAACAAACTGGGCGCCATCTCCACAGTGAATGTTGCCCACAGAGTACCCACTGCAATCTTTAGAAATATTAGCTTATGAGGCCCCAGTCTACTCCATGGGTAGACACTCATACCACTGTTTGAAAACCAGAACAGCTTTAAAAGAAAGCCGCCGTGGAAATTGAAGCCTAACATCATGACATTCTTTAACTCATTCAGTGACTTCTAAGCCACAGAGCTAGCAGTACTAGATTACTTATTAGAGTGATCAGGAAAACCAAACACTACAGGTCACAGAGTGAATTACAAAATACTGAAGTTCATACTACAGACAACATTGCAGATATGGCTATTTCAAGCAAACAAAAGAAGAAGAAGATAAGGATAATAGTAAATCATTCAGACTGTCCTTTACAGAATGTCGTTCTCTTCATGGCATACCTTAAAGTCTTTCTCTACCAATTCTCCAGCCCACCATGCTTTCATAGCCAGTGCATCTTTAATGTCATCTATCCATCTTCACAGAGGTCAGCCTCTGTCTCATTCTCCAGAAACTGCACCTTCCCATCACTGTTCTCTCCAGGTCACCACGGCTCTTGACATGTCTAAAATAACCCAGCTTTTGGGTGAGGATGCTGTTTATGAGCCAGTTCTCCTTGGTGATCAGATCATGCTGGATGTCGACATTTAGGAAAACAAAAATTGAAATTATGGGACAAGTCAATATTGGCAGTGAGAAAATACTAGGCAAGAGTGGCAGAGGCAGACAGATATTTTATGGCAAGCTTGAACAGCTGAACAACAAATAAACTTCACAGAAATATCAGATCAGATGACAACAAAGAGTAGTTGCAGAATGAGCAGCAGCAAAAGAAACCTCAGAGACTTTTACAGCATCACAAAGAAAAATCTCATCAACTAATCTGTTCCTTTGTCACAAAAAATTTCTAATCCTTCAGAAGCGGAGTTAAATATCAACTGACAAATGATTTTAAGAAGAAATTTTGTAAGCTATCAAACTCCTATAAGATAGGAACACTGAGGAAACTCCACACACACACAGAGAACACTGAGGAAACTCCACACACACACACAGAACACTGAGGAAACTCCACACACACAGAACACTGAGGAAACTCCACACACACAGAGAACACTGAGGAAACTCCACACACACAGAACACTGAGGAAACTCCACACACACACAGAACACTGAGGAAGCTCCACACACACAGAACACGGAGGAAACTCCACACACAGAGAACACTGAGGAAACTCCACACACACAGAACACTGAGGAAACTCCACACACAGAGAACACTGAGGAAACTCCACACACACACAGAACACTGAGGAAACCACACACACAGAACACTGAGGAAACTCCACACACACAGAGAACACTGAGGAAACTCCACACACACACACAGAACACTGAGGAAACTCCACACACACAGAGAACACTGAGGAAACTCCACACACACACAGAACACTGAGGAAACTCCACACACACAGAGAACACTGAGGAAACTCCACACACACACAGAACACTGAGGAAACTCCACACACACAGAGAACACTGAGGAAACTCCACACACACAGAGAACACTGAGGAAACTCCACACACACACACAGAACACTGAGGAAACTCCACACACACAGAGAACACTGAGGAAACTCCACACACACACAGAACACTGAGGAAACTCCACACACACAGAGAACACTGAGGAAACTCCACACACACAGAGAACACTGAGGAAACTCCACACACACACACAGAACACTGAGGAAACTCCACACACACAGAGAACACTGAGGAAACTCCACACACACAGAGAACACTGAGGAAACCACACACACACAGAGAACACTGAGGAAGCTCCACACACACACAGAACACTGAGGAAACCACACACACAGAACACTGAGGAAACTCCACACACACAGAGAACACTGAGGAAACTCCACACACACAGAGAACATTGAGGAAACTCCACACACACAGAACACTGAGGAAGCTCCACACACACAGAGAACACTGAGGAAACTCCACACACACAGAGAACATTGAGGAAACTCCACACACACACACACAGAGAACACTGAGGAAACTCCACACACACAGAAAACACTGAGGAAACTCCACACACACAGAACACTGAGGATTTTAATTCTTGTTTCAGGATCTTAGTGCTGGATCAAGGCAGAATTGTGGAGTATGATCGCCCGTCAGTGCTGCTAGAAAACAGTAACTCTCTGTTTTATCAGATGGTTGCACAGTCACAGCTAGTACACACAGCATCATCATGAACCAGGCGGTCTTTGGATATAGTTTACCATCACCCAAGCTGACAATATATATCACAACAGATTCCCACCATCACCCAAGCTGGCAATATTTATCACAACAGATTCCCACCATCACCCAAGCTGGCAATATGTATCACAACAGATTCCCACCATCACCCAAGCTGGCAATATTTATCACAACAGATTACCACCATCACCCAAGCTGGCAATATTTATCACAACAGATTATCACCATCACCCAAGCTGGCAATATTTATCACAACAGATTACCACCATCACCCAAGCTGGCAATATTTACTATAGTGATTACCACTGTGACCCAGTCTGGCAGTCTTTATTACAGTTAACCATCGTGACAATCTTTATGGCATTTTACCACCGTGACAATCTTTATGACAGTTTACCATTGTGAAAATCTTTATGACAGTTTACCATTGTGACAATCTTTATGACATTTTACCATTGTGACAATCTTTATGACAGTTTACCATTGTGACAATCTTTATGACATTTTGCCATTGTGACAATCTTTATGACAGTTTACCATTGTGACAATCTTTATGACAGTTTACCATCGTGACAATCTTTATGACAGTTTACCATGGTGACAATCTTTATGACAGTTTACCTCCGTGACAATCTTTATGACAGTTTACGATCCTGACAATCTTTATGACATTTACCATCATTACAATCTTTATGACATTTACCTTCATGACAATCTTTATGACAGTTTATCATTGTGACACATTCTGGCAGTATTCATCATAGTGATTACCACTGTTATCCAGTCTAGCATTTACAACACAGGATACAGTACTGATTATATTTACCACACAGAGCTCTGTAAAAACTGCTCTCGTGAACTGAATGTCTCCAGAAATAAACCCAAGACCTTCAGAGCACGAAGCAAATAATTTGACCACTTCGCCACAGAGACCTCTGAAAGAAATTATCTTCGCCAACAGGAAATCAAATGCCGGTCTGGGATGTGATGGGCAGGTGTAAGGTCCCTTTACAGGTCACTAGCGCAGGTATGAGGCTAGACTCATGTTTTTATAGATAAATCGGTCCTTTATGGGTAATGTGGTCAGTCACACTGGCTGCCTTTACTTCCCTGGACTTTACTTGGGATACATTTTATGGTTGGGTCACCTTCTTATCATGATACTTCCATGTTAGCGTTGTGTTCTCCAGTTTCAGACAAACATCACATATCATATTCTACGTTTACAACAGACAAGCCGTGTATTTTTTTGTTCCCAGTATTGTTTGACACTGACTACCTCAGAAGCTGTAAGAACTTTTTTGTTGCATGCGATCATGCAGCTGGATCTTCTTTATATCAGTTGTGTATCTAATAATTGGTGTGATTAGGGGAATTATTCTGCGTCACTGGCGTAATGCTGACCACATTACCCACCTAGTGCCGATGGTCTGAAAAAATATGGGCGCTCTTCCCATTTACCTGATGCGCCTAAAGGTGTGACAAGGGATCTTTACTTTTTTATTCTGCGTCACTTGGCGACTTATAAAATATATGTTAACAAGTCCTCTGATGTGTGTCTCGTTTTTTGCTGTGCCGATCCTAACTCCCAAGTCTATCATTCTGGCGAGTAATGTGGACTCACTGCCCCCAGAGTCACCAGTCCTTCCCATTGCTCAGAGGGCATTAGTAATATCAGCATGATCAAAGAGATCACTTTTATTATAGAAGAAAGTTAGTTGTGTATCCTTTACAGGATGTTGCAGAACCAACCCCAGCATTTTTTGGCTGATGTGGTTTTTTAGGCAAGTTTGTGTCCAGTAGTTTGCCATTGCTTTCTGGATGGTCAGCTTCTTGAAACCAGTCGAAACCAGCGCAGGGCCCGTAGCTGGGATTGAACCTGCACCCTGGCATTACGAAGCGTGTTTGCAACGCCTAAGCCACAGACAGTTCCAGTTTGCTTTTGATCAGTTTACTGTTTGATATATATTATAATCTACTGTTAAAAGTACTTCGAGCTATTTACTATGTACTTTGAGTCAGTTCCAGTCTACTTTTGATCAGTTTACTGTTTGATATAACTGTATTATAATCTACTGTTAAAAGTACTTTGAGCTAGTTACTATGTACTTTGATCCAATTCCAGTCTGCTTTTGATCAGTTTACTGTTTGATATAACTGTTTTAAAATCTACTGTTAAAAGTACTTCGAGCTAGTTACTATATACTTTGAGTCAGTTCCAGTCTACTTTTGATCAGTTTACTGTTTGATATAACTATATTATAATCAACGGGTAAAACTACTTTGATCCAAATATGTACTTGAAATCAGATGAATCTACTGTTTGATCTACTTTTGATTTGTTGTAGAAATCATTTTATGCTGTAGGATGTAATTTTGGATCATGTATATCTACTGTTGGGACTAGACTACTAGATAAAATGATGTGTATTGATGATTGCCATTTATTAGCCTGTGATTTTTTTTTTTTTTTTTTTAAAGTGTATAGCCAGTGATGTTTTAATGATGCCATTTTGTTGTGACAGTGATCATGTTAAATGTTTTTGCTAACAGTGTTAAAAATACTTGCAAAGTATATTTTGATCCACTACCTCCCTGAGAAGCATGCTGTAAAATGCCATTAATCAGAAGTTTGCTGCAAACAGTGAAACACACAAACCATCCATTTAAGCCTGTCGCTCTGAGAGGCAGAACAACTGTACTTCTGGTTGGGTCCACTTCCCAGAGAAAGCCATCTAAAGCGACTTCTAGAGTAATAAGTGTTTACAAAACATGCGTAGTTAATGATATTGGCCTCATTTGCACAAATGTTTAGGAGATCAGCAGATTAATATATTAACTACAGATAGAATAGGGTTGGGGTGTGGTGTATCCCGTGAACTAAATAACTTTTTTAAAAGCCAAGTTGACGTAAGATTTTCTTTTCCACGCAAGCCTCTGAAAGAAATCATCCAATATATATATTTGTGTAGGCACCAGGGAATGTATTCCATTTAATGCTTTCTGTTATTAATTTTTCTCTCTTTATACACATAAATTTCTTTTAAAAAAAATTTTTTTTTTTTAAATGGGGACAAATTTATCAGTGATCTGTGTAAAATTGTTTTTGTTTTCTTCTAAGGATATTTTATTTTTGGGAATTTGCATGTGGGCATGACTGATTTTCTGACATGGCTTTTTTTAAATCTGATTTTGCAGTAGCTGGTTATTTTTAATGTTTTTTTTTTTTAAATTCATGAAGGGTTTGAAAAAAAAAAAAAAAGGCAGTTTATTTGGTTATTGTATTTTTTATTACTAAAAAAAAAAAAAAATAATTAACTTACAGCAAGGTAACAGACAGACTGAAATACTTTAATAATTAAGGCTGTTTAAATAACACGACAACTATTTACAATTTACTGCAGCTGTTCCAGTTCAATCAAGCTGTACTCCAGGGTGTGGATCTGTGATGGCCAGCTTCCATAAGCTGCCACTAGTCCAAAGGTCTTTCGTTTTAATCCAGATCAGATTCAGTCATCTTTGTTTAAAAAATTACACAGGCTCCCAGGTTAACTGAGTGCGAACACCACATAAGGAAACCAAAGATCTCACATTCGTCTTCGTTTCCGGCAGTGTTGCCTTCTTCGGTTTTTTAAATTCAAGAAACACATCCTTCAGATGTGGTCTGCCCCAAAAACATTCATAGCCGACCAAAGACACACAGCAGATAACAGTTTGACTATATCTGATTTGTTAATATTGTAGAACTTTTGTCTCAGTATACCTTGTCAACCCTAAAATAGCACCCACAATGAAATCTTCAGAATCAGCTTCCAAGTTATCATCCTGAAGAAAACTGCAAATAAGAATAATCATTTGAATTCAGCAGATATGAATGAAAAATGAGCATACAAGTTAAGAGAATTACATGCAGTGATTAACTTCTTAACAAGACACTGACACTCAATCATCTCCAGTTAAATCGCAGCATGACATAACATCAATGGCTCTCTCTTCTATTAAATCAGCGATTCCTCTATATACAGAAGCAATTATGATAGAAAATATTTCTTTGGTGACTCCCTGAAGATAAACGTGTACAGCAAAACAAACGTAAAACATTGATGGACATTAAATAATTGACTGCACCCCATGTTACAGCTCTGTATGTGAGAGATAAACAGGATGCATACTGTAGCATTACTTATGGTCAATGGATATGTTATGGTCAATGTTTTCTGTAAACAATAAAGTTAAGGCAGCAGGGCAGACCAGCTTCCTTGGTTGGCAGCTCTAATAGACGTGTAGACACAGCACTGCTCTTCTGCAGCATGCTGTTTTTAATGTATTGGGTGTTACCTTTCCTTCAGAGTAAACAAAGAAGGTCAACAGATCACACTGTATGGTCACTATAATAAAGCCCCGGCTTTGTGCTATGGAGAGGAGGGACTTCATCCCCGGCTCTAAGTCATGGGTTGTTTTTTTCCATGCCTTCCCATAGCACAGCTTAAAACTATTGTCTTGAAAGACTTAAAGATGATGACAGCCTTTTGTGAATAAAGCGTTTTTTACCAGATGGAACAACCAGCTCCCAATCTTATCTTGGGTAGCCCCTTTAACAATATGTTTGATACGGTGAATGTATTATACAGTTCTTTGCTTCTCCCAAAGGCGTTAGTAACACAAGGAACGCTAAAACAGTCACAGCATGCATATCAAGGCTATCGTTGAATATAACAAGAATAAGTAGTTTCAGGTTCTATTTATATGTTAAATATAAAGTATTCGAATCACAGATTTTCAGATTTATTTTAAAATATATATTAAAAATTATAATCACTCCGCTTATTGTAATCAGTTATCATTTATTAAACTTCCTGACTTGTCGGACTGGAAAAAAGGCCCTTTTAGTTTTTATATATTTTTTTAAATTGTCTGTAGCAAAATACTTGTTGGTCAAAGCACTGGTTGAAAAAAAAAAGAAGACCTTGATTTGCATATTGCTAGATTCTGT